CCAACCCAAACCTTGTGTGATTCTGTGAAATCCCATTTCACATCAGGCTCACATGGCAAAATATCAGAATCTGGATCAAGGTGCCTGTGATGGAGATGGGTATTGGATTTGGAGAGATCCCTCTGTCGGCCTCTCTGGCAGTGATCCAACTGCTCTGATCAATAATGTGGTATTGATTCCCTGCACAGGCAGTGATTTCACCCCTCCAAGGCTTTATTTCCTCTGCCTTCCCTGGCTGGAGCTGTGTGACCTCCTCTCCAACCCACGGACCCACACCATGTACAGCCCCTTCCCTCCTCCCCACTACAGCCCTGGGAATCAATTCCAAGGAAATACTTGTAGATAGATTTTAATTTTTTTTAATTTATTTCAAATTATTTTTTCAAATCCCAAAGGAAAATATGCCAACATGGGACTATTGTCAGGACATCATAACCCAGAATAAAATCAGCTTTCTCTGTGCTAAAGGAGAACTCCAAACCACCTCATCTGCTTTGTGTGTGGGAAACCTGATCCTTTCAGTAAGAACATAAAAATGGTTTCATAACTATATGAAAAAAATATTAAAAGAAAACCACAAGTGTTGAGCTGCACAAAACCCCCAGTTGTTTTCAAATGTTCATAATTCCTGGGTGTCCCTCAGTGTTATTCCAGGTGAAAACACTGGTCCAAGAATAAAGGCACTTCAGGATTCCTGAGGAATGTTTCACAAGCCAAGGACATGCTTTGTGTCAGGTCTTTCTACTCACATAAAAAAATAAATCTGAGGGGAATTTATGGGAATTCACATGGGAATGCTGTGGAAAAAGGGCAGCAGACACTGAATCCTGCTGGAATCTGATGGACAGCAGGTTCAGGTTTGGAAATGAAAGGGTGTGTCGAGTCTGGGCCAGATGAGATCCACCACCATCAAACCAGGAAGCAAATGGAGAAAAATCCAATTATTGGTGTTTTGGGAGGCCAGATTTCCTGGTCTGATGAGGTTTTTAGAGTGGAGGTTTCTGCCTTTGTCTGTCTTCCATTGCAGTTTCCCTCAGCAACACTGCCCAGCACAAGGAGTGTCCCCGTTAGGGAACAGCCCTGATGGCTGGCAAACAGCTGGATATTCACCAGCATCTTCACAGCTGGATATTCAGCAGCACTTCCACATATTCCCCACCTGGCAAAGGTGGCAGTTAATGCTTCTGCTGGAGACAGGCCACGTGAAAAAGGCTTGTGCACTTCCCAGCCACCAGGCCATTGCTTGTGATTTTGTATGAAAGCGACTCCAGTGTTGTCTCTGGTCCAGCCCAGGGCTGCTCAGATCCACCTGGCTGCATTTGGGTTGTTAGGAAAGCAATTAAGAGAACCTAAACGTTGGCCAAGGAAGTGATTAAAATTAGGAGGCACTCACAGGAGCCATTGCTGCACCCTCTGAGAACAGCCCCGAAATTCCCATTGCTGGCTTTCCTGGGATTTGAGCCTTGAACCGTGCGGGGCAGGGGAAGGGCAGAGCCCGTGCTGGCCCGTGCCAGGCCCTGCTGGAGCTCGCCTCTATTTCCAGTAGATCTTGCCCGCCTCGCCCACGCGCACGGCGCCGCTGGCCACCAGCTGCAGCGCGGCGGGGAAGGCGCGGTGCTCGGCCTCCTTCACCCGCTCGGCCAGCGTGGCCTCCGTGTCCCCCAGCTTCACCGGCACGGCCTCCTGGAAGATGATGGCCCCGGCGTCCACCTCCTCCTGCAACGGCAAGGTCGGGGCTGGCACAGGAGGGGAGGTGCCCCGGTGCCTCGGGGATCTGGCAGGAACTGGGATTTGGGATGGTGGGATGGGGAGAGCAGGTGCTGGGGCTGACTGTGGTCTGGGAAGGGTTCAGAGGAGAGCAGGAGGGAGGCAGAACAGCAGGGAGCAACAGTTCTGTTCCAGAAAAGCCCTGGGCTGGGCAGGACATTCAGTCCAGAGGGGGAATGAGCCAAGGGCTACATGGGACAGGGATCCAGGAGATCTTCCCTGGAACACTGCTAGGGCAGATCCCTGCTGGGCAGGAATTGTTCCTCAGGAGCTGCCACACAGAGAAACCCCAAATCATGGCATAGAGAGAAGAATTCAGTTTTCCCTTCTATCAGGAAAAATTATTCTACCCTCTTTTTTCCAAGGGAAAGTAAAAATCCCAAGACAGATTCCAGTAGCAGAGGGAGAAGCGAGCCAGAGGAGAGACCTTTGAACCCTGAGAAGGGACCAAAAGGGAACCAATGATCCCTGGCCTGAAAAAACGTGGCTCTGAAGCTGAGAGATCTCTGCTCGCTCTTTACTTAGGGTCTGACCAGCATAAATTGTCAAATTTTGCTCTGTTCCCACAAACATCAGATCACTCCTTAACAAATCCTGTGCCATTTCCAGTGGGGTTTTTGTTTGTTTGTTTCTATTTTTTTCTTTTTCTTGAAAGCAAGAAACAAGGCAGGTTTAGGATAAAATCCAGGAACTTTGGGCCATGTTTAACAAAGCCTTTGGTCTAGCCAAGGCCTTATATTAACTATTCCCCCACGCCAGTGGGTGGAAGGCAGCAGTGGGATGCTTAGGGAAAAAGTTCCCTTAGGGAAAGCTTAAACTGGACAAATGATCCATTTCCAGTCCTCCTTCAGAGCCAGCAAACTCCAGCACTGTACGGTCACAATCAAATCTCCACCTCCTCCAGATAGAAAGTTCTGAACACAGAGGGCAGGCGACCAAACACAAGGGTTTGGGCTGTTCCCAGGAGGCTCTGAGGGGAGAATGTTGGAAGTGGAGGATTACAGAGAGGCGGGGAGGTGCAGATGTCCAGAGGGGAGGATTGCAGAGGTACTCACAGCCACGAAGTGCACGGTGCAGCCCGTGACCCTGACCCCGGCCTGCAGCACCAGCTTGTGCGCGTGCGCTCCCTTGAAGGATGGCAGCAGGGACGGGTGGATGTTCAGGATTTTCCCTGGGAGAGCAGAGCTGAGGTTATTGACTTCTAGCACTTCTAGGCTGCTCAAAGGGCCATAACCAACAAAGGAACAAAATAAT